AGGACATGGCAGAGAGCAATATATTTAATGGTTAAGGAGTAACCTTTGGGATTACTAATGTTTTTTTTTTAAATACTAGTCAGCTAAACACTAATCCATTGCAGTCTTAATTTATTTTCTGTGTAAGAAGAATGTGACATTTACCTTTTTTTTTTAAAGTCAGCTTCCCATGGTAGTAATTGGAGGCGTTTGTGGGAGGTATTGCACGGACAAATTGCAGGCCGCCAATTTCTTACAACTAGAAATGGTGTCAAATTATGATAGAGAAAAAAGAAAACTTGCGTAACATTGGTTTAAAGCACGTCTTTAATAACTCCACGTATTTCGTTATTTAATTGACTAATTATTGCTTTTGATCTGAATTTGATTTAAATGCTGTTGCATCTCGCAGGTGCACATTTTTGTATTAATTGTTTTTATAAAAAAAATTGGCAATGAACATACTACTACTGATAATAAAACCATGTGTGTTCTAAATGAGTGATTTTAAATGTTAACACTGTTTATTGTTAAGGATTTTCAACCCCCCCCCAACTGCCCAATCTTAATTGGCTTCCACTTATATTAAGAGTCTGCAAATGGAAAATAGATTAAAATATTTATCACAGTTTCGACTTGTTTATTTGCATTATGATTGTCTGGTGACATACGGTATGTTGTGTAATGGGGTTATAATATGCTCTGCGCTGCATGATGTACAGCATAGACATAAAGCTTCTTTATGAAATGATTACACATTTTACTTCACAGAATATTGCTTCGGTGCATTTGAAAATGATGAATGCGTGTGGCGTGCTGCCATCGCATGCATTTAAATTTCTTTCCCGATTAGCGCAATTTTAAATGGATGCTAAATGACTTTAATTGAGGATAATTATAATCACAAAAATGGCGTAATATATGCACAGTGATTTTTAGTGGACTCTTGCATTGTGCTCACCGCAGAGCCCACAAGACTCTTTTATAGGTCACACAAAATCATGCACAAAAACGCGCACACATGGTGGGGCCCCGCATGGCTTGGCTCCGATTGAGAACTGTTTTTTTCAATCCGTTGGTCAATTTCCAGGTTGAACCCCTTATCCCAGAGGTGCTAGCTCTGGGTCAGTCTCCTGACCTCAGCATCAGTCCCCTGAGCCACCCAGCCATGTCAGGCACAGCACAGTTTAAATAGAGCTCAAGTATTTCCGCTGAATGTTAAATGAATCTGGAGCAATGATCATCATTTTCACAGAATCATAAACTGTAGTGTTGTAGAGATCCGTGCTTATACAGCTTGACAGGCATAACAAACAAAAAATAATGTAAGGTAATAAAGCATGGATATGAAATGGCAACATAAACAACATACTGCCATAAGTAAACAATAAAGCTTATTATGTAAAGTTAATGCTTTGCCCATTAATTGGGTTTTGTTAAATCGACAGCAATCAGTCATGGTGAATCCACTGCTGGATGAAGGCCTCCCAAAGCAGCTGCCATCTCTCATGACACTGTGGTGCATTGATTAATCCTGCACCCGTAAACGGGCTTATCTCATTGCTCCGCCACTTGGGTGTATGTCCTCTCGGCTTAATTTAATAAAACATTGAAATAACTGATTATACAATATTTTTGTGTTTTACATAGGGTCATTGCGTGATGACAGGGAAATATAACTCAGTTTTAATCAGAATATAATGGGGTTTTTAATCTACAGAAAAGCTTCATTGAGTCTCAGTCCTTTTTTGAGGCATATCTTTTTTTGAATGTTTGACCAAATCCTTTTTGTGTGACATATATATTTTTTATGTTTATATGTGAAAAGAAACCAGAGTACATGGCAATAAAGAAGTCAAAGTGATTTCCTGCTAGAAATGAGCATGGAGCCATTGGTGCTCAACCCGCTGACGACCCCTGAGCCAGGGGTGTTTATGGCAAGGGCAAGTTTATCTATCGGACGACTACTGTTGACTCCACCATTACGTGGTACTTAATTTATCTACCCCAGAGCGACGATGGACTAAGTCAAATCCCAACCAGGTTTTGAACTCGCAAACCTTAGCGATTTCCAGCCGCTCGCTTTACCGCTAAGCCATCTGGCACCGAAAAAAATATATCAGACATTCGGGGAAAGATTTTTAGAACTCTGCGCAGAGAGAGAGAGACCTTTGTGACACTGCTATTCCTCTGCTGGTCACCTTGTGGCACAGCAAGTCCGTGTGATGCACCGACTGTGTATCCAAAGGGCCGGATGACATGTGCCACCAAAAACTAGGAACAATTTTGTCAACATGCACAGGCAAATAAGTGCACACCGTGCAGCACCACTGCCTGTGTATAAACACCCGACGACACACACGCACGCTGTAATTTAGCAACGCGGTTTAAAAGTGCGTGCTTAAATGTCGTTAGGAGTACGAGGCGAGGGCTCGTGCAGACACCGCTGTGTGAGAGGTGCAGTGACTAATGTGTAGCGTGATAGTACAAGGCTCCTTGAGGACTATTAGAGTTCAGTGTTCATGTCTACAGCTCAGAAAAACAAACGCTCTCTCCTAAGGTGATGCATTTTCAATAGCGGCATTGCAATGGGTTATCCGTTGGAATCAAGGTAAGGCATAGATGAGCAGAGTGAGAGGAGCAGAGGGAGATTTATTTATTTTACTTAATAAATCATATTTCCAAGAGTTTTATTAAAAGACTGATGTGCTAGTCTAACTAATTCCCACTAGGAGAGCATCAATACAGTGATCTCTCATAATGCAGCGACTCATGGGACATTTCTATTAAAGTAGTGTTTTTTTTTATTTGAAATTGTGATAATACACGAGATTGGAACATTTATTTGACACAAAGTTGAATGCAAAGACAGCGGAGGCACTGGAGGACGTCAGATGCTGGCCTTAATCAAATATGTTAATGGTAATACTGCAATGCTATTTATTTACCAGTGTTAACCAACTCTTGAACAAAGCTAGCGAAACAAAAGAACACTGCGTTCTATAGTCCAGCAAACCCTGAATATTCGTGGGAGATAGTTCCTGGGTGGTATTAATACAATAAATAACTTTTAAGACTTTCATTATTCATTACTATTAGTTGTCCAAAACTGTAGTTGTTAATTAAGAATGTCATAGAGCACGAAATTAAATTTACTCTCTGCTTCCCCATGAAAAGGGCTAAGATAGCAATTGTGTGTGGAAGTCGTATATTCCCACACAAAGCATGTAGTACATGTGATGACAGCAGAATATTGTGCCTTGTGAGATAAATGTACCTAGAGAATATTTATTCGGCCTCCTTATGAAAATCGTTGTTAATTTTACGTTATTTTAATGTTGTTTAATAATAAATTTTGATCAGTTTTGCCTCTTTGGAATGTACGCTTCTTTTCGCAAGTGACGCATTACCCTTCAAGGCAAGAACAAAAATACGTATTGTCTACGTTTTGACTTAAAACTTTCGTAACTGCAGGATTTCACATTGTTTGGTTCTTTCGGTAAAGCCACGTAGATAGAAACAATAATAACCCCCTTTCCTGATGACGACCGCTTGTGTTGCGATCGAAACGACGTGATATTTTTTTCACTTTTTTACTCTTATTGTCTATGCTTTATCATGTTCTTTTTTTGGAAGAACCAGATCTGTTTTCACCATTAAGTCAGAATAATGTTGTTAAAAGTATATATTCAAACGACTTATCAAATTTTGACTAAAAAGCTTTCGTGACTGCAGGAATACATATTCTATGTGTCTTTCAGTAAAGCCACGTAGATAGAAAAATAATAAAAATATCACGACGTTTCGATCTCAACAGAAGCAATTGTCTTCAGGTGAGAGAGAGAGAGAAAGCTGCTGAGACAAGGTCTTATATAGGCCTGAGATGGGTGTATCGAGGTAGGTGGGTGGAGCTAGAGATGGTCCAACCACAGAGGCTGGGGGCAGTGGCCTTTGTATTGTGAGAGATTAGCCTGTAGGGGGCCACCAAAGCTGTGGAGGTAGCCATTGTACTGTGTGTAGCCCAAGGGTAAGTGGGCGGGGCTAGAGATGGTATTTGCATGTAAATGGTAGATCGGAGGGCGCCCTGAGGCTGTGGAGGTGACCATCGTATTGTAAGAGATTAGCATGTCTATGTAAGAGAACCACCACAACGGTGGATGTGCTAGTGAGACATCCAGCCTGTCAATGCAAAGACATCAAACCTGGCAATGCAACTCAGAGAGTCGGACTTATTATCAATTACATTGCAATGTGCTTCCAGAGTCATGCTGTGTGGAGAAGGAACATCCCAAACTCTTAGAGTCAGCAGAGCTTTGCATTCCGTTCGGGAATGGTCCCCAGTAGATGCTCATGGAGCCTCCTAAATCGTCCTCGTGTAGCAAAAAAAATGCATGGCGCTAATTCATATTTAGGCAACAGCATTGGTGAATGAGGCTTTCATCCAGCAATTTATATACAGTACATTTAACATTTTAACCATTATGTTTGGGATAAGATTGAATTAAGAGAGGCGTTAAACTTCGTAGGGCGGTGTTCTTTCCAAGTTGTTCCTCACTGAACTGAGGCCATCCACTCTCTACACATCAGAGTCTGCCTGGATTTGAACCTGGAATCCCGTAATAAGGACTGTTATTCCATCATAGATATAAACACCTAAGCCACTTAGCCACCAGCCTGCCACAGTATTTGTTTTTGAAATGCCAGTCAAGAAACGTTTAAAAATTAAAACGAATGTGAATTACGTAACTTAAAACGTAGGTATTCCTAGCCTATTGACCTTGCCTAAAAACAAATATGGATCACTATGTCTTTTATAAACTATAGAGAGACATAACCTGGATAATCATCCAAAGTTGGAATTGAATTCCGATGACGTGCTGGATTGTCTGCACCTACCCCAACAAGGAAATGGTAGACCAACTTAATGGTGACATTTGCTAGCCACGTGTCATGAGGTAAACCGCAGACAGCGCTTTCGTAATAGTGATGGGTATGCCACTGCTTGTACGATTGTGTTGCAGTTTGCTCGGGGACAGAGAACAAGCTGAGTCTGAGTGCCACAAGGGACCTCCAGTACCAGGCGCTTCGGAAGACGTACGAGCATTGCCAGGTGGTGCTGGGAAATCTGGAGATCACCAACATTGGCGCTGACAAGGACCTCTCCTTTCTGCGGGTAAGAATCCCGTGATGGTAAATTTCAGGTTCACTGATTACCGCAGTCACGACTGGCCTGCCACAATTGTATGACACCTTTTAAAGAAGCCATTGAATTGAACTATAGCTCTCTTGTAAAGACAATGTGGTGCCATTGCAATCTATTCATTACCTGGCATTCTAATCAACATCAACCGTGGTTAATCCACTGCTGGATGAAGGGCTTTCCCAAGCTGGTGCCATTTATCATGCTCCTGTGGTATGATAATCTAGCGAGGACCTGCACACAAACTTCATCTCCCTGGTGGGTTTCCTCTCTGGTCTATCCGGTTCCCTGGCTGCCACTCCATCGTTTTTCTTTGCCATCGGCCTCGAGCGACATGTCTTGCCCAATTCCACTTACTTTTCCTAACCTCACGTAATACACAGGTTTATATAAAAAGCTGTATGTGTGGCCACAAACACCTGATTCTCAAGCCCTGAAGCAAACTCAAGCAGAACTTACCAGTCTCAGACTCCATTTGTTCAGCCCGACACATTTCACCAAATAATTTGGCGATGCTGCTCTGTTGGCAGTGGGGCGCAAGCACAAATAACCAAAAAAAACTCAACACATTTGTCAATAATACTGTCACCTTAACAGCTAAAATATATAATAGTTGACGTTTCAGGCAATGGCTCTTCATTACAGAAGGAACTTTTGATGAAGCCAGTCACACTGATCTTTCATCACTGCCTCTGTCCACCTATAAGTTTGACAAACATTGCAGACAAATACAACAAAAAATTCTCACCTATATTTTGTTTATAGCAATTTTTTATTCAGTTGTCAAGCAGTGAAATACTGTTTAAAATTATTTGCCTTGAGTACATTATCATATTTCTGAAATATTACACTTGAGTTGCTTTTGCGCATATTTTAGGCATCCATTGGAATAAAACATGAAAGGTTGATGTTTTCCAGTCAGAATCTTTACATTATTGTTAAGCATTTTATCTTATTTCATTGTAATAAATGTTTGGTCGAGAGCTCCTATAATCCACAGCAATGTGGGCAGTGGTTTTAAACAGATAAGCAAATTGTGGATAACATTGTTCCATTAATTCAATGATTTTTTTCCTTCTGGCCACATGTATTATTGGCACAGAAGTGCTTCCGGGCATAGTATGGCACACAGCACACGGACGTTAAATGGGTTAAATTAACACAGCAATTGGATTTGTGCCGGAGCATTGCATTTTAGACATTGTAGCACGTGGGAATTCTCACCTTCATGCAATCGTAGAAGAACCCTGGTCTAACAAAATTGTTGACGTTAGAAAGTGCCAAGGCTTGTGGGTTATAATGAACGATGTGGTGTACCCATCGACCGGGCAAAGTAACACCTCTGGCTGTACGTGTGTGCCGGCTTGTTTACTTTACGTGGACTGCAAAAACACGTCCACAAATGGAAATGGCATTTGTATAACCTGCAGTCACCGAACTCTGCAGGGTATGTGAAGCCCCTCTAATTAGTTTTGGAATGCAATGGGAACATTTTCAATTAAACAAGCTGTGCCAGAGTGACTTTTTTTGCTTAAACATACAACTATTCTCAGCACCGCTGGGAATCTGAGTTATCGTGGGGAAAATGTCTTCCACTCTGATGTTATTAATGAATTCCAGTATCACATAGAGACACATAATCCTAAACCAAAAAATTATGTAAAGTAAATAATTGGTTGCGCGTACACCATCTATGACATACTGAATAGACAATGAAAGATGTTATAGACCGATATATGTGTGTGCTTTAGTGGATGGTGTAGCATGGAATTCCATTTTTACTGCTCAATAGAGCTGCATAAAAATTGCACGTGTTTTTGTTTTAGACGTCTGCTCTTGAGCCTGTTGTTCATATAACATTGCATGAGCTAGGAATTTACCACCAACCCACTTTGTATGAATTACTCTTCCTCATATATAACATTGTTTGCAGAGAATTACCAAGTTGTTTTGTATGCATGCTCGATATTGTGCTCTTAGCATGGCATAAATAAAAACAAATTTGTTAATGATCATAGTAATTCAGATATAATCATAAGTGACTGTAATGTCTGACAATGAGACATAAGGCCCAATTCATGTGAATACGTTTTCAAGCTTTAACAGAATTCCATAAAGAGCTGCAAATTCCACAAACGTGATTCCACCAAAATTGACGAGACGGTATTTTGCCCGATTTGCCATGTGAAAGGGTGGAACCCAATTCCACACTCATCATTGGAGTGCTGCGGGAAAATCAGGGCCGTGTCTATTGATGTCAGAATTCTCTCCCTGTCGAAAAGTTATACAATGAGGCTCCATCCGTCTTGCATACACTCTCATGCTCACGTGGAGCAACAACACACACACACTAGCATGAGTGTGAGGAGGAGTTGCTTCATCCTCCACTGAGGTGGTGTGCATTTGTAACTCGATGCCTTCTTTGGCTTAGCATTATATAAAACAATTAAAGTGATGATCGTGATGAGGATGATGATTATGATGCTGCTGATGAGGATGATGATGATGATGATGCTGATGATGATGCTGCTGATGATGCTGCTGATGATGATCGTGATGAGGATGATGATGATGCTGCTGCTGCTGATGATGATGATGATGCTGACGATGGTTATAGAGGTTATGATGATGATAATGCTGATGATGATGCTGATGATGATGCTGATAATGATGATGCTGACTATGGTTATAAAGGTTATGATGATGCTGATGATGATGCTGACGATGGTTATAGAGGTTATGATGATGATGGTTATAGAGGTTATGATGATGACAACTTAAGTTAATAACAAATTAAGATGATGACAATAATAATATTGCAACAGCTCATTATAATCGACCAAGTCACAATCCACCAACCCACACCAATCCCTATCCCATGGCAATCCATTAATCCTTGTCACCAAAGCACGAGATTATGAATGTGCACCACGCACCACACCAAGTGCCCATTTAAAGCCTGTGGGGGTTCAGAATACATTTCACTTTTGGTTGCTATGGCCTAGAATCAAACTCAGGTTGCAGAGTTCGTCGCACGGTGCACAGATCACTACCCCACCACTCCCCACACATAAATACTTCTTTACACCAACGCGCAGAGAATCATAGCATTGGATTTATAAAGGGCTGTACATCCCGAATGCTAACCTCAACCCTGGCATTTCACCTGCCTGTCTTTAGATTTTATGGTAAAATTTCATGATCGCCTTCACAGTCCAAATTCGATATCATACATTCATTGTTGACTCGGACACATCTCCTCTCCAAGCATTCATTACCTCATTCTTTGTTTTTGGTACAAGCAAAACGTCTGTTGTTGGAGCAATGTGCCTGTTTACATTGCCAACATTGTGATTGTTTTTTGTTAAATATAATTTAAGCACTATTTTTTTTCCTGCACCTCTGAAGCAACCTGGTGCTCTGTACGGATTACTTTCACGTTGTTCCTCTTGCTCTGTGCTAATGCACCAATGGATATCCCTTGCAAACTAAAGCTGAGTAGATGGCTACATGGGACTTTCCGTGTGTGACATGTCGACATTGATTGACTGACACATATTATGGTGTCCAATACAGCACGCACCGTGAAGCAATATCAAATTAAAAACCAAGCACATTGGAACTAAAACAGTCCAGCATGCGGCAATCATTCTTTAGACAGCGAGGTTATCCTTGACTGCTTCTGGACTGCCTGCCAGGCTGCGCCCACAATATGTACAGTGGGAGCTAACAGATGTTTATTTAGATTTTTTAAAGATTCCTGGCATGAAAATAATGGGACTTTTAAACACAAACACAACTTCGTACAATAGATGTAATATATTAGTTTTATTTGAGCCATTTTTAAATGACAGTTTAAAAAAATGCACGTGACTGTGTTGTTTTTAATCTCTTTGCTCGTCTTTTTATGAAAACGTTATTATTGTCATACTTGATTTTTATGGCATGTAGCACTCACGTAACCATCTGTCTCTCACCAAGTTATGTTGGAGCCAGGACATTCAAAAGAACTCTGAAATTGCAGGCGCACACAACTGCATGTGCATTATATTGCATGAAACGAGGCTTGTGGAGACATTTTTAGAAATTGCCAGTCGCATACCAAATAGACACGGAGGTTTTCATTGTGGACGGATGAGTGTTTTCAGAAAGAATACACAGCAGGTACGTAGCTGTTGTTGTCAGCAGACCACAGAAGGCTTCGATGGCCAGGCTACATGATTGTGGCAGGACCACCAGCCAAGTTTATGCTTTGAAGAACATTGGCGCAAATACACAGACCAACAATGTAGCCATGCGTTTCAGGATAATGGATGGGTATTGTTGTAAACCCACTGAAATATCTACGGGTCACAGTTGCAGCATCAGGTGCGACCTCCTGGATCGGCAGGTTGCCAGCCATAATGTGTGCGCGTCCCGCTGTGTCTGTCAGGCACGACAGAAGCTGTGTCACGTTGCTTAACGCTTCACTGCAAAGTGACTAGCACGAATGTGCATTCCCCGTGCATGGTAATGGCTAATTGTAGTATAGCAGGCTCTTAGAAGAGGATATAATTGGATTTGAGGGGAATCAAGTAAATTGGTTTTGTTGATCGGGCAGCTTAACATGCAGATCCTGTGTGGCATTCCCCCCCCTATTAAGAAGCGTTCGGGATGCTAGAGCTATGAGCCGATCAGGCTCTGAATTGCAATGCCTGCAGAATAGATGCAGTGTATTGATGGCAGTCTGGCTAAGGCATTCACACGATGATTGTGTACCACTGCCATGTGAGAGCAACAGTACCAAACTATTGTACCTGAATTCTCTTCTGTGTATTAATTGGCGATTTAGGCCTTGCGAACAATGCGCTACAATTGCCCAACAGTGTTGTGCATTTTGTAGGGCCGAGTTCTTGTCCACGTGTTTTGCACTCCAGTGTGTCGTTGAACAGAATACACAACAAGCTTAGAGGTTTGTTTTATTCAATTGTTTTACCTGTATGCAGAACCAGAGTTATTAATTAGCTGGTTGAGCACAGATTCTGCCTAAATTAATCATCATTTTGAGATGGGGTCATATTTGGAGACTCGAAAAATCTAGCTTTTGCTTATCATATTTCTAAATAACAATTTGTAAGCGTTAGAATTTTTTGGGTATAGAAACGTCAGATTCAGGTTGAATTACAACGCCTAAAAGAATGCATAGTAGACGTGAGGTTTTACAAAGCCGATAATGAATGCTCGTGATAGATGCTACCTGGCTGAGCTGGCAGATCTAGGAAAAGTTGAGAATTACTTTAGCCAATCTCCAACAAAGTGACATTTATACAGGGGATGATGATGATGATGATGACGACGATGATCAATGATGATCCGTGATGATGATAATGATGATGATTTCTACAACAGGCCATCCGGGAAGTGTCTGGTTATGTGCTGGTGGCCATCAATGAGTTTGAGCGCCTGCCACTTGAGAACCTACGCATCGTGCGTGGCACCAAGCTGTATGAAGACCGCTACGCGCTCAGCGTGTTCCTCAACTACCGCAAGCACGGAGGCATGCGCAGTGGCCTCAAGGAGCTGCGTCTCAGCAACCTCACAGGTGAGCTTTTCATCTCCAATCTCGAGAACCCCCGCCGCCAACCCCACAAGGCAACTCCACCGGTTCCTCTCTCTCTCTCTCTCTACTTTCAAGCCTCTCATCAAAACCGTGTTCAACTTCCCGTGGCATTTGTGCACCCTTTACTTGTTTCCTTTGTGAGTGGGTGAGTGAGAGCGGGTGAGTGTTAAGGCGAGTGTTAATGCGAGTGTTAATGTGAGCGTTAATGTGTGCGTGTGTTTGGGGAGAGTTTAGCACACGCCGCGCTACGAACCCGGCGACCTGATTTCGATTCCCACTCACGACCAACACCACCAGTGACTATTATCTGAACCGGTCCTGGGCCTCCCCTAGGTCGACTCAGGCTCAAAAATGAGTACCTGGTGTGATGTGTAAACATCGTCACTGGGTAGACAAAGGGGCCCAGGCGTGGTGCTGGCCAGCCACCCCCTCGTGTGCCGTGCCGGCCTTCATGGGTGGTCACTCACAGCACTTGCCCCAGCAGTCTGTTATAGGCTATTCGAGGGATCTTTGTGTATTTGTGTTAATGTGTTATTTTTTTACAAATATCCTTAGTTAACGCTTAATGGCGTGTTGAGTTTCTTTCTAGGTCTGCAGTGCTAATGGGTTTTTGTGTGTATTCTTGTGAGTGTGTGTTTGGCTCTTAATTAATTAACACACGTGTTTGTGAAATCATATCATATCTTGCTTTATAACTGAATGAAATGCATACGCCGTTTTATTTGGTTGAATAAAGGCATTTGTGACGCAGTGAATACGTTATAATCTCAAATGAGCTGCTCGTGATGGATTCTACCCAATTACATGCAGCTCTAATGAAGAAGATAGTGCCAAATCAATGCATAAATCACAACACACAATGCCAGTGGCAGCCATTAAGGAGGAATAATTATGTTTTTTTAACGTTAAATTGCTCAACGTCTAGTCGATGCATTTTCATTTGACAAAGCTGAGCTATTTCTCCAACATCTTACTGGAATTCCAGTGTGGGATACAGGACCAGGTTGCGCTGTTCTTACAGATGCTTGTCTGTTCTCTTTAACCATTGCTCAGCTGTTTGGGGAATCGCTGCCAAACTAATTGCCAGGCATTCGTGTTAATTATCGTACAACTATTCTCGGCAAGTTAGCAGAATGACCATTAGAGTGATTGGACAATTCACGAATACATTTAAAATGCACAAGCTTAAACCACGCTTAACTCTTACAACAGCACATGGGAGGGGGGGGGGGAGCGGTTGATTGTTTTAATCGAGTTTAAGCTTTTGAAGACGTTTGATGTTTGCAGTGGGTGAACGTTTACTCAACTTTTTGGAAATCCTTCTAATTGCTCTTTACCATCTGCATCTCAAGGTCATTAAAATTCTTCAATTGAGCACAGCAGGTCTAAGGACCCCTAGTGTGTGAGCTAAATCAGGGATTCCGATACCCGGAGCCAACATCAATTAGACGTGAGTTCAATAGCGTGAATTTACGGATGCAAAATAGTTCAACCGAATAAAAAGGCCGTTTTAATTAAGCAGTTCCCACTCTGTATTTTACAAGCATTATTAAAACAATAGAACACCCACACGCATTGATGCAAGGCAATGCCAAAGTGCGGTGCATTTACTTGAGAATTTCACGGTTTCTTCAGAAGACCCTGGACAATTTAATTCAGCCTTTGCAACAAAAATATGCTTCTAAAATATCAGCCAACAATGGCATCTAAATTAAATCTGCGGAAGTTGCGGTTATTCTTTATCTTTTTCAGTACTAAATGTGCGCACTGAGGCCCCTCGATGAGCCTCATCGAGACAAGATGTGTTTGTCTGGTCCAACAATGATGACAAGCAACATTTAATTATAATAAACATAATAATAGACAATGATATTTGTTTTAAATCACGAGATAGTGTTCTTTCAATTTGATATAGAAGCCATGTTGAATGGTGTTTAGAAAAAGCATGTCCTATCATGTGGCTATTATTACCCAATCATAACATAAATATCCTTATTTACATCAATAATTTACATTGTGAATGTTAATCATCATAATATCTTTTATTTAAAAATCCCTCCTTAGGAAAACGCAAAAACAACATTTGGACCAGATAAACATGTTTTCCACTGCAAAGATTAGATGCTATTTGAATGCAGGTTTTCTAAGGTCTTAGTTCCAGGTAAATACATCTTGTAATTAAATTTACGTCACTTGTAAAAAAACAGTGTTTCAAAATTACATGTTGTACTTTGAAAAGGGTCACATATTTGAGTGAAATGGACTTATCTGATTTGAAAAGAATACATCAAAGCTCATGCTTAATAAAGCAGTGGTGGTTTATAGTTGTCTATTTTAGATATTTTTGAAAAGAACTTGTCACGTTGCTTGCATTTTGTGAGACTGAATAGTTTGTGATGGCATAATGGGAATGCAGAACATTGTCATTGCATTATGAGAGTGACATTCATACGGAGTATATATTGTGGTTGGGAATATGCAGTATGGTGATTTATGTTCGTGCATAACATAGTCATTTATATGTGTTACTTGAAAAATAATTGGACTAGTGGTGTATGCTACTGTGTTTGCATGCATAAACAGAACATCAAGAATGCCAAAATCCAATTACTACTCGAATTGTATCGCAAGTAGCAGATATATTTATGCACAGTTTACCTTCAGTAATCATATTTAAATGTAATGTTTATTTTAACAACATACCACCAAATTAGACCTCTAACCCTGCACTGTATATAGGAATATCTGAATGCGAATTTGGCTTCCTTCACAATTGCATGGAATGGAGTGTACTTTGCCTTTTTATATTTTATTATACTTATTCTATCATTGATTATTGTTCAAATATAGCTGAATGCTTTGCTATCATTATTTTTCTTAACAAATGTGGTGTGTAAACCAGTAACGTACACGTGTTATACATTGACTTTGCCACTGAACAAATCACCCAGAAAGCCCCCAATCTCATCAAATCTCACGCTTCGGTGGTGACCATCATAGATAAAAGACAAGTGTAATCGACATCGTGGGCAGTCGAGGCCAGTGCAGAAAAATCCATTATTGTTCTCCACTACCTCCACCTTCAACCCGCACTGACCAGCGTGGTGAAGTACAGTCAAACATCTCTGATTATCCACAGGAGATGTATTTACTAAAATGGTTGCTGCACATATATGCTGTTTTCTCCGTATTGTCAGTCTACAAGTCACATACCACGTTTGAAATTGATTCAAGCTTAAGTATGAAAAAAAAAACCAATGGTATGTAACTATGGCTAGAGATCTCACTCAGACAGTAGCCGTGGTACATTCCAAAAGGCTGGCATGTGATTGAATCAAGAAGAATGCGTTCACTTATTTATTGTGGAGTTGTTTTGTTTAAAAAACAGCTCGGCACACAAAATAAATAGGGATTATATGTATGTGTGTATGTGTGTGCAAAGAAGTATGCTGGGCTGGTCAGATGAGTCTAAAGCGTCAATAAAGACGAAAGTGTTTCTCTCGAGTAAAATCCTAAAGGTTCAAATGTGTCGTCATCTTGAACGAGTTGTGTGACGTTTCGAGAGTAGAACAGTCCCCACGTGATCATCGTCGATGGAGGAACGCTCACCGTGGAAGTAATGGCAATTAAACCCTTTGAGTGTGTTTAGCTCTCAGATACAATTCAAACGATCAGTTAGAAGGTCATTTAGTTAATTGTAATTTGACGTATAGTTATTGTGGCAATGCGCTTGCATTATTGACTGCATCATATCTGTCTTCGCCGCCATTGTCTTAAGCAGCTGTAGAGCCGATAGCGACTACACTCATGGACATCATCAGCACTTTGTCTTCTACAGCTTCCTCCTCACTGTCATCTTCGTGTGTGAGCAAGCCTTCATTCTGATACTTCCTGCGAAGTTCGGAGCACAAAAACCTGCTTTAAAAGTTTCAAAGAAAGAAGTGTTGTGATATGGAGGCACCAAAACATGTCCATGAGTTGGTGCGGAATGGGCCGCTATGCCCTCTCCTCAGTGCTCCCCACTCATGCTACTCCCTCAAAGTATTATGGACGGTTTTCTGGGCAGTGAGAGTTTCCTCATTTTTACAAAAAATAAATCTGCGGAAACTTTCCACTTTTGTTGGCTCAACCATAACCCTGCCCTAACTCAGCTGTAACCCTACCTACTTTCAAAACGGATGCCAATCTACCAAAACGTGGTGTAATGCCAGTTACGTGAATGCGTGCTATCTCATTACAACATGCAATTACTAAAACGATTAAACTGATCAAGTGTGCATCATCTCTCCAAGCTTCACATCTGTGTGTTGTTATTAATAACACAATGGATTTGGCATGAATGACCAAATTTCGATTTAAAGCTTTCGTGACTGCAAGGATTCATCTTCTTTGGTTCGTGAGAATTTTATTGCGTTATTTTATTTTATCAATTTATTATTTTATTCTCATTCTACGTGACTTTACCGAAAGAACCAAAGAAGATGAATGACCAAGTTGAGAAAGTTCCTAACAGTTGGGAGGGAATGCAGAGGGCTGACTTTTCATTGAGTGGAGCTTGATTCGAGGTATGACAAACAATCCAATTTAAAGAATGGCGTTACTGGAAAACCATAAAATAAAGGTATTTCTCAGTATACTTAATCGCTTTGGAGAATACACATGATTAAAATGTACGTATTGTGATTGGATACGTGCTGCCTATATATTACCGATACTTAGTCTTATGCACTATAACATGTTGTAATGCCTCCACTGTATGTTACAATGCAGTGATTCCACGTTTACTTGGCTAGGATTTATTTAATATATTTTCATAAAAAATGTATATATTGTATCCTATCTTACTCGCAGTCTGAATTGGGAAACCACTAAATTTAGACATGTAAATGTAATAATAATTTGCATATGTTTTCAAGTGAGTGGGTTAGAGAAAAAAGGTATGACCCTAATTCCTGGGGTAGAGCATTCTTAGTAATTTCAAA